TCTTTCTATAATATTGTTGAATATATATTATAAAAAATATTTAATCCTACAAATTTCATGTTTAAAATGTTTAATCCTTGAGATAAGATGAATATATTAGATATATATTTATCTATTTATCAAAAGAGTGAATATAAAGTAAGCATAATCACTCTTTTACAAAATAGTTTTGTAAATTTAAATTTGTTTCAAATTCACATTCTAACATGATGGTTCATGAGTTGTTAAATTTATAAGCCACTAATGAATCACATGCAAATATTCAATCTACCTATATTTGCCAAAATAGTGAATATAAGTAAGTATAATTACTTCTTTACAAATCAGTTTTGTAAAATTAATTAAATTAGTTTCAAATTCACATTCTAACACAGTATATGAGTTATTGAATTTATCAACTCATTAATGAGTCACATGCAAATGTTCAATTTAACAAATTTCTCACTTAATACAAACCATATTTAACGGATTAAGTTAGATTCAAATATATATATATATATATATATATATATATAGAGAGAGAGAGAGAGAAGGGGGGAGAGAGATCAACTTACTCCAATAATAAGTTTATTTAAACTTACTATACATAATAACTCATGTTTTACATCAAATTTTAACGATCCAACTATTAAATTAAAAGTTCTTAATGGATAAATCAAGTCAATAAATTTTTAAAAAATTTTAAAATTATTTAATACTCTATTTCATTAATTCAAATTGACGAATAATCATAAAAATATTTTATACATTAATTTGAATTAATGAAACGAAATATTAAATAGTTTTCAATTTTTTGTAAAATTTGCAAAGTTTATATATGTTTAAGAATTTTTAATTCAATGATTAAATTATTAAAATTTAATATAAAATATTAGTTATTAAATAAAATAAGTCTAGGTAGACTTAGAATAAGTAAATTCTTTCTTATATATAATTAGAAGAAGAAAAAAAAAAAAGTTCAATGTCACATTTGAATAGATTCCATTAGCAAAAGGGGTTTCGTTCTTCCCTTTATGGTGAATCATTGGAAGCAGAAAACCACACGGTGGATTTATTGTGGGAGCCCCACCCCTTGAGAAGAAGGAATATTAAATAAGTGCATGATATAGGGATAATGGATGGTATTATAATGAGCTCTACTAGGAGGTAGCTAGGTATAAAATGCAAACAACTACAAGGTTGGAAAAGGGTTTCTTAATTAATGATGATGAGTCGAGTTGATTAAGTAAAAAGATCATGTGAGGGGGGTCCTCTCCAAAATCAAAACTACTACGACACCGTAAAGTACAAGAAAGTTATATGGTAATGGCAAAAATATATTAACAGCACATGCCTTCCAATATCAATTTGGCCCGACCATGCATGCACTAGTCCGAAACTTCTTTTCTCTCTTTCTCGAAGACAGTCCAACCACTATATTCGTCTAATAGTGAAAAATTAAGATAAAATACTCTCCTTTTACATTTATATATAAATAAAAATAACTAATTTAATAATATATATTAAAAAATCATTAAATATATTTAATTTTATGATAGATCGTGCTATCATTTAATATGTACCATTGTGATATTTTTGTATTAAGAGGGTTAAATAAAATTGATTTAATTATAATTTGTTTATATTTTAGTCTAAAAAATTTAAATATTTTATTTATATACAAGTTCAAAGGAAGTATATTCAACATCATAAGTTTAAATTTTAATATCATCATAATAATTTGAATAGATATAAAAAATAAAAATAAAAAATCGATCCCTATACCAAAAAAAGATCACTATTAATAAATTAAGTCTCACAATATTACTAATTTGATAAAAAAAAATAGTACTTTGTTCATCATAATTAACTCAGCCATTAAAGGATGTAATATGGGACATGAACATCATTGGCCCATTTCCTATGACTAAATGATAGTAGTGAGTTACCATATAAAATGGATTGAAGTCGAATCATTGACAATCATCTCCACTCAGAACATGAAGAAATTCTTATAGAGAAATATTATAACCCATTTCGAAATTTCTCATGTTATCTAAGGGTGTCTGTGAATTTGATTGGATTAGTTTCGAGGGAGAAAACCATTCGATCCAATCTCTTAGATTTTGTTCATTAATCATTTAATCAATTTTTTTTTTAAAATCAAATCCAATTCAATGTAATCCAAATATATATATATATATATATATATATATATAAGTCATAATATACAAAATTACAAATTGATAGATTATCTCAATTTGGTAGATTATCTCAATTTGTAATTTTGTATATTATGACTTGTACTACTATATTTGATTCCAATGAGAAAATAAATCTAATAACGTTGATTGAACATCCACAATCTAATGAGCAAGCAAAGTTGGCAAATAAGGTAATTTTAACATAACTAAGATAACGCTTGGAATTGGCAAAAGGTGTATGAGCTGAGTAGTTGTTGAAAGTTTTATGTTCTTACAGATACACTCATCAGTCTTCCACACAAGAAACACCTTTTAGGTTGATGAATGATAATAATGTAATGATACCCGTAGAAGCTAGTGAATCTTCATTTTAGAGAATATATTTTCAAGATGAGAAAAATGAGATGGAGTTAAGACCTAAACTCAATTTGATAGAAAAAAAAAAAATAGAGAAAAAAACATTAATGGTGACAAAAGCATGTAAAAGAATAATGACTAGAAAATTCAACTCTGATTTAAAACCAAGAGGGTTTCATTAAGGGAATTTAGTGTGGAGCAAAGGGTGAAGCACAAACACGATGTGAAAAAAGGGAAGTAATCAATTAATATGGACAACTCATTTAGGATTCAACAAAATCTAAAGAATGAGGCTTATAAGTTGGAAGAATTGAGTGGGAAACCATTCCTAGAACTTAGAGTTCTACACATTTAAAATTGTATTATAGTTGAAATCTTATTATAAGTAATGTACATTTTTTCTTACTCATTTTTTTTTATTGCTGTAAGAACGTGACAGGGTTTCTACTAGGAGGGCTTTTAATGAGACACCATTCGGATGAGCAATAAAAGAATTTCAAATTTTATGATTTCTAAATTGATCAAATAAATGACAAGATTTCCTTTTCAAGGATTATTCGATCAAGGATGTGTTTTCAAACAATCAACTCCCCTAACAAGTATCAAGGCTTCCCTCCCAAGAACACAATGGACTAAGAATGTGCTTTCAAGTAATTTATTTGCTTATCATATGTCAAGGCTCCTCTCTTAAGGACACACTTGGTCAATGATGTACCTTTTAATAATTTAGTTACTTTTAATAATTTAGTTATTTAACATATATCAAGACTTCCTTTATTAGGACATACTCAACCAAGGATATACCTTAAAGTAATTTATTTGTTTGATGAATACGAAGACTTCTCTCCCAAAAACTTACTAAACCAAGGATATGTCTTTAACAACTTCTCATCTTTAAAACTTAAAGATTTTCTTTTCGAGGTTTGTTTTCGGGTGTAGACTCTCACCATTAAAATTTTAAAGGCATTGTTTTTGGGATGAACCACTTGACCAAGATTACACATTTGATTAAGTTGTTTTTAACTAAATTTTCGGTCAAAGATAAACCCCTCGGTTAAGGAAGTATTTTTAATTACAAATTATATTGAGACCACTCGATCATTGATTTTTAACTTGAAAAATTTTTAAGATATTTCTTATTCCATGACTACTCAGTCATTGATTTTTAACTTGAAAAAAAAATTAAAATTTTCTTATTCCATAACTACTCAGTCATATATTTTTAACTTGAAGAAAAATTAATAATCTTGTAACTACTTGATTATTGATTTTTAACTTGGAAAAAATTAAAGAATTTTCTTATTCTATGATTAATCAATCATGTATTTTTAACTAAAGACAATTAATAATCTTGTAACTACTTGGTCAATGATTTTTAACTTATCGGATTGAAGGGAAAAGGCATGTATACCGGTAGAGTTCAGGCTAAGGACTTATCGGATTCCTGCCAAGGACTATTTGGAAAAGCCTACTAAAGATACAATAAGCTCATCTACCATAGGGGTGCGAAGTTAACTAGTTTGGAGTTTTAGGCCTGACACTAAGGCCCAAGGCCAACAAGGGTATAGAATAAATAACTATATTTTGTAAGATAAAAAAAACACTTTAGATCACATTTGTCACAACATTTATTACCTCACTCTTACTGAAGCCAAACACTGATTTTTAAGTGTTGGAATGATTTCTACAAGTACATTCATTTTCCTTCTCAGGTAAAGTATACCAAATACTATAAGAACCAAAGACTACAGAGTCAAAAACTATGGAACTGAGTATTGCAAGGAGAAGATGAATTTACTATAGCACCCCTTTCCGTCACAATAATGTTACTTAAGATTTGAAATTCATTTGTTTCGTGACATTTATCCGTGTACTAGATAGCCGTGTTCTTATTTTTTTTAAGCCTTAAAAACTTCACAAGCATTCAATATTTATTTTTTCTAGTAATATTAGTAAAAATAAATTGTAAGAATTAAAATATTCATCATAAATACACTAATAATAAAACCTTAACAACAATCTTGCATTTTGCGCTTAAACTATAAACATTACTCAAAAATATTTAACTTTGACACATTAATTTCAATATTTTGTTACAATATGATTTTAATTATGTTAAACAAAATCTCATACCAACACAATATTTGACAATTTAAGTCTCCGGTTTATTGAAAAATCCCAATGGTAAAATATTGCAATTCCTATGGGAATTACAGCTTGAAATGGAATGTTCATGACTTAATGGTCATTCCATGATTCCATGGTTGTTCCCGTCAATGAATTACGTGTTTGGGTCTACGTCAATTATTCATGATTTAACTCATTAAAAAAAACAGGGAGAAACTAATATTAGCTGCTTCTAACGGTATATACCTATTAAACTCCTTTTAGGTTGTTTATTCTAATAAAAAAATATAAATGCAAGTTGGCAAGCACGTAACAACAGTTAGTATACCAGTATTGATAATAATAAAGAATTAGCTCACATATAATAAGCCAAGTAACAATAATAATCCGGAAAAATAAATTACTTTAGCTTAGTTCTGCTCTTGCTTTTTTTACCTTTTTTCTTAAAGGGCATTGTATTTAACAATCGTTTGAAGGGGAATAAAGGTAGTCCCCGACGTGTCCTTCGCTTCATTCTCAATCCACCTGGAGATAATGGATATATACTTGCATCACAAAACTTAAAATGAAAACGTGCAAGTGGATAATATGCACATACATGAGAAGCCATGAGGAATGAAATAATTAGGAAATTAAATGATTAATACTTGTCAAACTAAGGGAATGAGTGGATACCTGATACCGAACGAACTGAAGCAAAATGATCAGAATCGGTGCTCACTTCACCAAGCTTTTTATCTTTCATTATAACTTCTGAAAATAAATGTGTTGCATCTGTGGAATCATCTTCCACTTTCATCTCATACGATGTTGGCTGTTGCATCTCATCAGTTTCAACTGCATCAGTTTCCTGTTTGTCAAATTGTTTATCCTCCATTGAGGTATCAGAAATACGTGTGTTGACTGTTTGCTCTGCAATTTTTAAGTCCTCATTTGGCAAAGCATTATGGATATTGCCAATATGTTCATTTAAATTAACATTAGAACTTTTCTCATTATGTTTATCATGAACCGGGGCAGGAAAAGTAATATCCAAGATTTCTACATGTGCAACATCTAGTTTGGCATCGTCCGAAGATCCACAGAGTTTCTCGTTTTCAGGTGGTTTTCTAGTATCCAATGTATTGCTTGAGATGCAAACATTTGATTGTGCATCAAGTTCTTTTGCTTCAAACGGGATTAAATCTACATCTGAATCAATAAAACTTTTTTCCGACTCTCGGGCATTTGTCGAAATGTCCATCTCCATAGAATTGAAGGTTTCGGTAGTTCCACTATGTATAGTTTTCTCCAATAAATCATCACTTTGTTTCGGTGATTGAGAGCTTTCATCTTGCTCAGCACAAACTTCAAGACTATCGGGCTGCACAGTTAAAATGTTAGATACATGTGTTGAAGGTATAGGTGACGAGTGATTAATTTTTGTAATTTTTGTGGCAACAAGCAGGAAGTTTACCTTATTACTGGAGAAAACAGGTAAAGCACTGTTTGCAGGTAAGAAATTCTTGATTTGATTACCATGGGATGGAAGGCTCTCCACCACTGAAACAGAGTCAATAGCTGTTGGAATGTTTATCTCCTTTAAATTGACAGCTTCAGTAGTTCCACTACGTATATTTTTCTCAAAAATCTTGTCACAGCTAAAAATGTGACTTCTTGTAATAGCATCTGATAAGGACTTTTCATCTTGCTTAGGAAAAACATCAAGTATGCTTAACTGCTCAGTTAAGTTGTTAGAAACAGGTGTTGACTGATTTGTTTTTTCGGCAACAGGTGAGAAATTTATCTCGTTATCTGGACACACAGGCAAAGCATTGTTTGCAGGTAAGATATTCTTGATTTCAAAACCATGAGATGGAAGGCTGTTGACCAATGAAGTAAAGTCAATGGCTTTTGCAGTTTTTGATGCTTTATGGGAGTCTACACAAGATTTTTGCACGTCATCCAGCAGGATATCACCTTCACCACTGGAGATGGGATCCCACTTCAGTAGCTCTTGATACTGATCTTCTTTAGAATTAGATGCTGCATCTGATGATAAAACTTCTACTCTTATTGCCTCTTTATAAAATCGTTTTTTCCTTAAAGAATTAGCTAAAAGGATCCTGCAAACCATTCAGAATGATATTCAAGACATCTTCCTGTAGAACCAAACGCAATGAGGATTTTAGAAAAGTTCCTACCTACAGTTTTTAGAGATAGCTGCATTAGCTCGCTCCTTGGAGAGCCCAAACAATGACAACAAGTTTGCAACATCGCAAGGCCCTCTGAGCTCATTCACTGTAGGAGCAGCACTTGAAAATACAATGTTTTGCCCCCGAGTCCAATCCATCAACAACTACATGTTTAACCATTGCGTAAGTCTGTGCATGTCTAAATGTTGTAATTGTAATCACATAAAAGATTGTCAAAATCATAGATCTTACATATACTTGTATGCCTATGAGGGTCTATTGGTCTAATGATAGGCATGAGAATCATAAGATCAGAAATGGAGTAATGAGAATAGGAAGTTAAAAGGTGATGTGAATCAAAGAAAAAACTGTGGTAAAGTATTTTATTTTGAGGTTTTTAATATTATATACACAAACTTGACAGGCTCATATTTAAACTTACACATCGGTTAATCAGCCTATTTTAGTCCCTGCTTATAAATACAGAAGGTGCATCCCACACACATCTTCAAACAAGAACTCTGTGAAGTACATAAATTCCATTCCAAACACAAAGCAGAGGTATCATCTCCCTGAACTTAAACAACCTATGTTTACAAAACACGACCCCAACTCACCTTAATGAAAAAGAGAAGACCCAATCAAAGCAACATGACATTGGGCTGGTACAACTCAATCATGGGCTTAATATTTTGCAAGCATATACCACATTACAGGTAGGAATGGAAATATTCAAAACAAGGAGGGTGAGCTGTCAGTCAAATTAGCTAAAAGTAAGGGATCTGTCTATACATTATACAAACTATACAAAAAAACTTCTAAATAGAGCTAGAGCCCATCATGCTAACCAGTAACCACTATCACGCTATAGCATTTTTGGAGCCAGCCACTACACCCTACTATCCGAGATTTCAAACACTGATCCACTTGTAAGGCTCTTTATGAGGAGGTAGAGGCTGACATGTGATAAATTTTTGCACTCTGTTATTTCCCTTTGGCTCTAAGCTGAGCAGAGGTGCTTTGCAATCTCGAAAGTATTCATCGGTCCCTAGAATTTGGAACTTGATATTTTTATTTCTACTACAGTTTTATAATAAGATCCTACCTGTATGATATACCCTATTGCAGGTATGGGTGAGTCTAGCAATAGACAAAACGTCAAACCTCTAGTTCAAATCCTTTAATTCAAATAACACCAGCATGCCCGAGAGTGAAAGTAAGTCCACCAAACACACCACAAAAATTCATTAAAAAGCCACACATACATATACAAAAAAGTAACCAACCAAACACCATTTAACTATCTAATCTTGCAGTGCATTCAGTGGAGTACATAGAAAAGCAGCAATCACCTTGGCACTGGAAATCAACTGTCTCCTAATTTGAATATCAGCAAAAAAGCCAGAATACGTGACTTCAAAACAAACCCCACGCTGCAATGCATACCAATACAATAAACACGCCACGTGTTAAATTTGACCTCAGTTTCAGAAAATTAAGAAACGAGAGTCAGAATGAGAACCCGAGAACAAACCTGAGTAGCAGCTTTAACCATAGGGTGCTTCAATCTAAAAGGCAACTTAGCCGAGAAATCAATGGAAATAATATCCACCTGCAATGAGAATAGTTTCAGCTTTCAACAGCAGAATTAACGAATGCATGAATGTGTATGTGTGTGAGAATTAACGAACCTCCATTGTCTGGCAGGCGAGATCAAACGCGGTCTGATTGGAGGGTTTGACAGCGACCAAATCGTAGGTCTTGAGAATAGGGTTGGCGGAATTGAGGGCCTGGGCCTGGGCAGGGGAATCGACGCAGACGGTGAGGCGCGTGTACTGACGGAAGGGGGTGGAGAGTGGGACTCCGAGGAGGTGGCGGTGGAGGTTGGCGGAGAGGGAGAGAGAGGGAAGAACGTTGAGGAGAGTGGTGAGTGTTAGGGGGGCGATGGAGCAACGGTGCTGATCGGACATGACGCCCTTGATCGTGCGGTTGTAAGCGATTCCGGTGTAACCTAACTCCATGGCCTTCACGGCGAGTCTGGTGCGGTTGCTTTGGTCGGTGGGTTGGGGATAGGGTATGTTGAGGTCGAAGTAACCCATGGCTCAGTCGTCACCGCCACAGGGTTTAGGGTTTTAGCCCCTTAGCCTCTGCGACCACACTCTTAATGTGTTTGGGGTCTAGGGTTTAGGTCGAATATTGATATATATCTATTAAATTTAAGAATCTTTGATGGTCAAAATATAATTAGAGTATTTAGCAAGATAAAAATAAATAAGATAAATTTTTTATTCATCTAACAAAAGTGAAAAATGAGTGTACTTGTTTATTTTTATTTAACAATAGCATTTTAAGAGGTTTTCTCAAACTTTCATCCCTCACTTTTTTTTTAATTTATAATATATTATAACATATTAACATATACAAATAAATTAATCAAGATTGGTTGAGTCATGAGAGTTTAGATTCAATGTATAAAGATGCACTCCCTTTTTATTATTCTAATTAAATTCTCAAAACAATATGAAGTTTCTCCAACATCAACCACAAAAAATGTGCACTCATCAAATTCTAGCTCCCATTATACTGATGATTGAATGATACAAATCGCAATAGTAACCATACATCACCAATTTGGAACAATGTTTTCTTCCCAACTGTATTTGTCTTCACGTGCTCATAAGAGGAAAGCCCACTATTTGTTTGTGCTTTTATCACAATCAGCAAACACCAAAGTCACTACCAAAAGTTGCCCAAACATCAATGAAATTTAGGGCCAAAAACACTAAATCCAAAAAACATAAATGTGTTTATTAATGTACCTTTTCCACAACTAACCAATGCACATGAAGCATATTATAAATATACTTTTTAATTTTACTAATAATTCGACATAATCACGTACCTTTGTGTTTTCTTTCAAAGGTGATAAAATATTCTTTAAAATAATGGTATTTATGCGGCATCAATTAATGAAAGTAACTAGTAGACCATTGAAAGTGATGAAAGATGAAAGCAACTTGCAAATATAATGTCTACTACAAGGTGGAAGGAACATTTATGTGAGCATTGTGCGAATAAAGGGTCTGTGCCAAAATGAGAAATGAATAGACACATTAGTTATTTAATGAGTAATTAAATCTTAACCATTAATTTTAATCCAATGGTTGAAATTAACTCATTTCTCCCACATAAGAAACCTCTCTCTATCTCTCTCTATGTATATATATACACATACTTATTATAAAGGAATACATGTAACTGTTTTTAGTCTCTAGTTTTTAATGGACCATTGTATTTTTCAAATATTAAGAAAGTAATAAGCAACCATAATCACTTATCCATTACTATTTATTTTATTTATTTTTAATTAAGAGGCACAAAGTACCAATTGTCCATACTATTGTGCATAAAGAGAGACTAAAGGGGTCTACTTACTCCAAAAGTAGGTCTACTTATATTTTACTCAATAATTCATGTTCTACATTAAATTTTAATGATTTGACTATCAAAATAAAAAAAATCTTAATGTATAGATCAAGTATGCAAAGTTATACAAATTTTAAAAATTATTTGATATTTCATTTCATTAATTAAGATTAACGAAAGGGAGTCTTAACCATTGGATTTTGAAGAGGTTTTAGAGAGTAAGAAAAAACATTATTGGTTACAAGTTGTAAATGAAGAAATGGAGTATTTGGATAAAAATTAAACTTGGAAACTTGTGGATCTGCCCAAAAATCAAAAGGTAGTTGGATGCAAGTGTATCTTTAAGAAAACTTAAGGTATTCCAGGTGTGGAAAAGGCAAGGTACAATGAATGGCTTGTAGTTAAAGGGTTTACCCACGTGGAAGGGATTGACTATAATGAAATATTCTTACATATTTATATATTTTTTTGGTTAATTTCATTTTATTTTTTTATCAATTTATATTCGTGTCTTTTGTGATTGAAATTCATTCACTATGATCAATTGAATGTTTTTTCAAGGATAAAATTTGATAAGAGGTAATTGATTAATTGTCCGAACCTCTTTGCATTTCATATTTAAATCTAATCAATTATGTATCCTTTGAAAATAATACCAATTAATATGATTAAAGATTGAAATTGATTTAATATCATTGATTGATAAGACAATCATTATTCAACTTCTCTAAAAATACGAGTATGATGATCTAACTTAGTAGATATGTGAATATTTGAATAACAACAAAGAATGTTACTATAAAACTTTAAGAAATTATCTATGTAGGATTCAAAATTACAACATACAAACAAACATATGTGTATATATAACCTAATTCTTTAGTTAAAATAACTGCCAAATCATAATAATTTTTTTGCTTACATAACAATATCTTATTTGGTGTTAAAAAAATATTATTTTAATTTATTTTTCTATTATTTATATAAATTTTTCACTATTTTATTTTTTTATATCTTATTTACGTTATTTCCATCTTATTTTTATTTTCCCCCTTTAATTTAAATTTTTATTTTTGCTCTTTTTATATAAGTTATCGTTCTCGTAAAATGTATATGTTGATAATAGTTTTATTTTTGAGTAAAGTGTAAAGTTCTGAATTAATATTGATATTTTCTTTGACAGATATTTTGATTTGTAAAAGATATATTAATATATTAATTAGTAAAAGATTAGCGGGCAAAGTTTAATTGGCGTACCCATGTTACAAAGAAAGGTTGAAATCCGCGGGACCGAACCCGCCAAACGCCAGGAATCACTTTTTCAAACATCCTACCCAAGCCACGTCATCGATCCAAACTAAATCTCTTTTCCAATCCACATCGTTCATAGAAACCAAATCAACGCTCCAGAACCCTCCTCGAAAAATAGCGCACGGATCGACACAGTGTCCTTGACTCTTATAAAACGCATCCGCATCCAAATCTTGATCCCATCACAAAACGCCGAGCTTCTCGCTTTCACACTCCAAACACAGGTAAGTTAATTTCTCGCATCACAAATTCACTTACGATTTCATCTATTTTTATTTTTTTAGTTTTTAAATTTTGTTAGTTTCATTTCATGGGCTAAAATTTATTATCTTTGTGTTATAGATTTTGATTGGATTAATCGGAGGCCTCAGAAGATGTCTGGTCGTGGAAAGGGGGGAAAGGGATTGGGAAAGGGAGGAGCGAAACGACACCGTAAGGTGCTGCGCGATAACATTCAGGGAATCACGAAGCCAGCGATTCGGCGTTTGGCTCGTAGGGGTGGCGTCAAGCGTATCAGCGGTTTGATCTACGAGGAGACTCGTGGGGTTCTCAAGATCTTCTTGGAGAACGTCATTCGTGACGCCGTTACCTACACCGAGCACGCCAGAAGAAAGACCGTCACCGCCATGGACGTCGTTTACGCGCTCAAGAGGCAGGGAAGGACCCTCTACGGGTTTGGGGGTTAGGGTTTTCTTTAAGCGTGTTTGCTTGATTTTTCTCGCTGGGGAAAAGTCTTGCTTCCATGGAGCGAAATTGGTGTTAGTTTTGGGTTTTTGGTGGTGTTTGTAGTTGAAAGGGAAAGATTAGGAGCGATTTTATGTTTTGTTTCATAGGTAGTTTGGTTGTTCCTGGGAACTGTGTGATGTAACTACTTTGTTGAAATGTAGAATTATTTCTGATTTCCTATTCTCTGCCTATGTCTCTTCTCCATACTCAATTATGTCTGAATTGTGTTTTGTTGGGATCTTGTTTTTCTTGGTGTCTAGTGAGCACAAAATCTTTTTGGATTAACAGACCCAGAATAAGGTAGTTTATTGTTAAGGAGCTTAATTCTGTCCTTGCATTCTTCTGCGTAAACAAATCGTCAAAATTTGCAGAATTTAATTTCTTAATAAAGGGGAGGTGACCATTTATTATGGGCTATAATATATTTATTGGGTTTTTTAATATAAAAAATGCAGCTTTTATTTAATTGTGCTTTTGCAAATTGTATTTTCTTTTGACCCCATGCTCGTTATTTAAGAGTAAATTATAGCATTCGGCTCTTCAAATATTGTCGAGTGATTGGGGCATACAATAATAGTGTTATAACTAGCTTCTTGGAGCTGGAGAGAAACACATTCTACTGTGCATGTGGAGTTTTATTTGCTTTCCTTCTATTTTTAATTTATTTTCATTCATTTAATTTTTTTTGGTTTGGAAACTTATTGTTCAAAGAAATTCTGAAAATTGGTCGAGATATTAGATAATAAATTAGTTATAAAAAATTGCGGAGGTGTGAAGATGAAAAAGTAATGCTTATTGGTCCACTTTTCCAGAAAATGGCCCAATTTAGTCGATGGGCTGCCAGTGTGTTGAGCCGCAAATGATAAACACACCTCCATTTCTTTATAAATACCCTTCTTTCTTAAAATTTATTTTTTTTAATTCCTAAATTATACTTTATTTTTTAATTTATAATTTTTCAGATTTACCCCTCCCTTCTTATTGTTCTTATTTCTTCTTTGTGCACTTCATTCCTTTTTCTTTACTTTTTCTAGGCACTTCCTTACCTTCCTTTCTGCATTTTTCTCTTTTCTTTTTTGGTTTTGTCATAAGTTGTAAGTGAGTTTAATATCGAAGGAAAAGGTGTCAAATTAGATACATTTTTTCTTCTAAGTAATTTTTCTCACTATTTATTCTGGAAAGTGCTTTTTGGAATAATAAAGCTTTCATTCCAGAAAGTACACTTAGGAATAGTAAATTTTTTATGCTGGAAAGTATTTTTTGAAAGTGTGCTTGTTACATAATTCCAAAAAATATTTTCTAGAATACTAAATTTAATGTTCTGGAAAGAACTTTCTAGAATTATATAAGAAACACACTTTCAAAAAATATTTTTCAAAACAATAATTTTACTATTTTGAAAAATATTTTCCAAGATACTAAAATTAACGTTTCAATCAAGAAAGATATTTTAAAAATTTTATTTTAAAAAAAGAGATTAAAGGTGTATTTATAAAAGATAAGAGGTGTATATATCAATATATCATCACCCCTACTTTATTCACGTTGTTGTGGTATAATTCTTGTGTATTGAAGAATTAATAAGTACACAAGATACCAAAGTGGGGCACGAATAATTTGCAAGGCAGCAGAAAGTAACACTTTTTCGTATTTACGGAGAAGGAATGTGGAAGCATGACGTAGGAATGTTGGAAAGTTAAAATTATAGTAATTTGAGTATACCAAAAAAAAAAAATATGTCAAGAGAAATGAATTTCTTAAATGGATGTATTTGGAGGAATTAGTTTTTGGATTTGTTGAGAGATATCGTTTGAAATTCGAAAATAGAATAGATAATAGTTATCTTTCTCAAATAATATATTTTCAGTGGCTAAATTAAATTTTTACCTGAATTTATTGTTTGTAAGATTCATAATTTGTCTCATGATTGCAAAATTTGATCAGGAAAGAATCATTTGGATAATAGAAAGTTTTTATGAAATCAGAAAAATGATTATTAATTGCTTGAACAAGCAATGAGTTAATACATGTTATACATAGGATAGGACGATTCATAATGTTAAAAGATCATTTCAAATGACACATTGACAATGAATATCCGTTGGACAATTAAAAAACCGATTCTGTCACATCCCCTCGCACTTATCTTATACAAACTATTGCACCACATTCTTCTTTCCTTTGGTGACTGAAAATTGCACTACATATATAAAAGGCTTAGGTTATGTACATGATACTCTCGCAGCCTCTCTCACGTTATGTTGTGGAATTAACCCTTTCCAAAATCCATGGCTTCTGCTCGCATATCTGATTGTGTCAAAGATTCACGTCTTCCCCTTAGGCCAACGTTCGTGAACCTCTATAAGTGGCCAGAATCTGATGTAGAATTTGTGAAGACTGTGAACTCTAACAGTCCTAGAGGAATTGATAGCTTCTCGTGTAGGCAAATGTACTTGAGGAGCTACAAATTCTCTAGGAAGAAAGTTGGTGTCACTCAGAAGACCCTCAAGTGTTTCAACAAACTTAAGGAGAGTGTGGTTTGTGCTACCAATAGATTAAATTTTAAGGGTAAGTGTAAGGTTCTAGGAAGGGCCAAGGATGTTACTTTTGCTGCCTTCTCAATCTTTCAGACCCTTCTACCATGCTCTGCCAAGGTCGATGTGCTTCATCGTGATTTCTAATCTCATGGTTTTTATATATGTTCTGCTATGTAACGTGTGTTATGAAAAGTTAGAGAAATGGGTTATGAAAATTTCGACCACAATTATTGCAGCAATTGTTTTCAGCGGCAGATTAATATTAAAGCTGTTATTATGCGTGAGACTTGAATAAAAATGACTATAATTAAGCTTCGTACGTGTGTGTCTATGTATTATTATTATTAGTGGAAGTGTCTGTAAATGTGTTTGTAACATACAAATGTCTTCGCCTTTTCCACTGCCTACGAGGTTATAGAGAAATTAATCTCATGACGTGATTATATATGATTAGTTTATATAGTTTTATTTAAAATTATAAAGAATTGTGTATATAAAATTAAGAATGAACTTCTCTAACATTTTATGAAACAAACATAATTACATCTGATGGAATAAATTAAGAAATTTTTGATTAATAGAAAATAGACATAACAATAATAATATTATTGAAATTTATTACCGTGGTTACTTTTAACCCAATTGACGAGTGGGAAGAGACGAAGAGTAGGACTATAGTAGCCTTTGGAATTTCCGTCTTAAAAGCCGGCGGATGCACGTGACGTGGTGACAAGTTGGGTAAAAATATTTTGTAGATAATTAATTATTTTACTGCATGCATTGTATATGATGTATATTTACCATTGCATGTGTGAATCAATTGTGAAGTTATTTCATAGTAATATTGAATTCAAGTTTTTTGTATGTTAAATATTAGATAAGAGAGTTTCCCAGCCTATTTAATTCGAACAGGATCATTTCTCATAAAAGATATATGTGATATAAAAAAAATGCATATAATAAGTATTTTGCATAATGTATTTTTTAATAAATATTTGTTTTTATTATATAAATTATATTATCATTAACATAAATAATAAATATATTTAAGTGTGTAAATTTATGTTTAGATTTTCACTTTAATAATTTAATTAGCAAAAATAATATTGTTTTACTTTGTTATGAAATTTGTAAGACGTGTTCACAAATTTATAAAATCACATGTATGTGGAAATAAAGTAGCACTAAATACTAAATATATCTTATTTTATAAGTCACATAGTTATAATATATCTTATTGCAAGTGAAGACCTATTTGTGAATTTAATTTTAATATAATATTTGTGTAAAGATTTTACATAGACAACTAATGAATTTTTATGTGTGTATTATAGTGATAACAAAATTTAAACTTAAAGATTTAATGTTTATTACTTGAACCTCCACCTGATTCCAATGGATAATAATTTTCAATTATATATATATA